ATATAACATTCAAAAAGTATTTTTATAACTTATTTGTTTTTAAGAAATTAATTAATCAATATTACTTTTTACAGAATAGCTTTTTTCCTACTTTATTTGTAACATGTAACATTTATTTGTAACGTTAGTAACATTTATTTGTAACATATAACATATATTTGTAACATTGGTAACATTTATTTGTAACATTTATTTGTAACATGTAACATTTATTCATAACACTTGTAACATTTATTCATAACACTTGTAACATTTATTCATAACACTTGTAACATTTATTTGTAACACTTGTAACAAAGTGTCTTTTTACTTTATTACTTTTATTAACTTTAGTATTTTGTTCTCAAATGTTGTAAGTCAAAACAAACATGAATTTGTACTCAAAACAAATTAAGGAAACTGGTACAATCAAAAGAAAATCAAGAAGTGGAAGAAAAAAAGTTTTTATTTGCAAGGTTTTGTTGAGAAAAAGATAAAATGATGAAACTTATGTACTGCATATTTCCGATTTTCGCACACCATTATTATTTAGCAATTAATTGCAAGAAATTGAATTCAGATACATCAAAGAATGCCTCTATAAACCTATTTTTTAAGTATCTTGTATGAGTAATCCATTATTTTGGCCCAATTTAGCACCATTTTACTATTATTGGACAACTTTAAACTGGCTTAGAGAACATAAAGTAAATTTTATTGGAAAACACTGCAATCCATCAAATTGTTTCGCATTACGTCAAATATCAAAATACAATAGTTGTTTAAATATTCCTGCTGATTTTTTTTGGTACATGTCTTAATGTTACAACTAGATGTATATATATTTGAAACTTTAGTTATTCTTTACATATGGATTTATCTCATTATCTTCACAACAGAAGAAGGAAACATTCCGATCTGTTTTTTTTTTTTTACTAAAAAAATAACTTTTTTTATAATTTCAATAACATTTGAAAAACAAATTTGTTTAGATGTTATGAAAAAAATAATTTAAATATTATCAAAATTATTGACAAAAGGTGTTCAATGACTGTTACTGCTAACTGAGTCCTGTTTGATTTTGATTAAATTTTAAAAACTGGTATATAAAAGAGTAATAAAATGATGAAAATGAATTTTCTACTTGTTTTGAATTTTGCTGTTAAAAATAGATTGTTGTTACTCAAAATAAAAGATAATTTTTAAATAATCAAATGACAAATGAATAACCGAATGACAACAAAAAGAAGTAAATAGAAAGTTAAACTGCTAAATAAGTAACTTAAACAATTTAAAATTTTTCTGTCAAGATAAAAACAACTTAAGCAAGCAAAAAGCAATATTTTTCAATATTTTTGAAAAATGATAAAAAAACAAAACAAAAAAAAAACATTTGAATAAAAGTAAAAATTAAAATTTTACGCATAGATATAATTAAATATGTGAAAACTATTTCATTATGTTATTGTTTCAGTCTTTAACATTTATGCATTTTTTCATGAGTCATTTTTTATAAGAACAAAAAATCTAAATACTATCAAAAAATGTAAGACTTTAAAATAAATTAAGAGACTTCAATGGGCAGTTGTGTCTAAATGAACATAAATTAAGAGACTTTAATTGGTAGTTGTGTCTATATGAACATTTCATTTCAAATGAAGACATGAAAATTACACACAAAATGTTACAAAAAAGGAAACTATTAACTATTTATTAGAATTGGTAGTTTCTAATAAATAAAACTTATTATTTTTGGTTGGTCTCTTGTAGTTGCTTAACATTTAGCTCATAATTAATATTATTTATAAATATGTTAAGTGGTTTCATAATAATAGTTTTTATGTGACATATGTGTACATAATATAAATATACATGAAATTTGTATATAACAGTTAGCAGAGATTAGAAGTGATATAAATATACATGAAATTTGTATATAACAGTTAGCAGAGATTAGAAGTGATATAAATATACATGAAATTTGTATATAACAGTTAGCAGAGATAAGAAGTGATAAGAGAGTTTGATTACAGTCAAAATAAAATAAAACAAACAAATAATTTGAAAATATAACTGAATTAATTAAACAAAATGTTGCAGAAGGTCCATGTGGGGAGCATTTTAAATTAATTGGATTGTTTAAATGTTATAAGCTAACAAAAATGTTGGCTGATGGTTTTACTGAAAAAAATATAATTATGAATCAAGAAAGCATATAGAACTAAGTAATAAACAAGTTATGTGCTCTTCACAAAATATGGCAGATACAATGTATGTACGAACAACAACAACAACAACAACAACAAAATAACAGGAAAAAAAAAAAAAAATTATATATATATTTTTTGAATTAGCTAAAGTTAATAATAAATAATATATATTGGCTTAAATTTTAGTAGTTTTTTTACTTTTTTTTTACCTGGGGTTGAAGTTTTATTCTTGAATTTGTAGAGAACATTTAGTATTGTTCAATAAGTTTGCAGTTTCTTATATCTTTGTTATATAGTATTATTCACTAAATGAGTTAGTAGTTTCTTTTATCTTTGCTATATAGCATTACTCATTGAATGATAATCATATGCGGTAGTGGTGTAGTGGTAGATCGCTCGCTTCATAAACGAGTGGTTTGGAGTTCGATCCTCACCACGTCCCTGGTAGTACCGCCCTCAACTCGTTTCTCTGCGCAGCAGCCTTGTTCATCAAGGTTCGTGTTTCGGAGTTATAGAGTTGAGAGAGGGTTATAGCCACAAATAAGTAGCCTCCTCCACTGTAGTGGCCTTCTCGGCCTTGAGGAGGTGAATTATAATAAAAAAAAAAAAAAAAAAAAAAAATATTTCATGAATATATAGACATTAAATAATACTATTTGATGAAGATATATTAAAATACAAACTCATTCAGAATGAGTTTGCATTTTAATATATCTTTGTTAAATAGTATTATTTAATGTCAATATATTCATGAAATATGTCATGTCAATATATGATGAAAATCAATCAAATATCATATATTTATGTCAATATATGATAAAATACATAATATATATTCATGTCAATATATGATGAAAATCAATCAAATATCAAAACATTAAATAAAAAATCTAAAGAAAATAAAATTCTTTAACTTTAACAGCCTTTTTTTTACTGTTATAACAATTTAAATCTTTTTGTTTCGATCATTGATTTTTAATATCAATTTTTAATACTAATATAGATCATCGATTAATTTTTTATATATTATAAATTTATGCATACATTTACTATTTATTAAATAATGCCATATATACACTTGTTTTGTTGATGTGCAAGGAAACAAAAAAGTAATTTTTTTTGTGATCTAAAAGTCTTAAAACATTCAGCTATTTTATATTAAACTGTGTTTAGATTCATGATGTAGAAAACATTTCACATATTATTTTTGAAAATAATCACAACATCACCCAAATGTAAATGTTCTATATACAATATAAGCAGATTGGAACTAAAAAATTTGGTAAAAAGAACACTTGATAAAATTTTTTAAAAGTTTGAATCAATGGTAAAAAGATACCAAAGCCTAAAAAAAATCACAACAATAAAGGAAACAGCATCAAACACAATAAAATATTTTTTAAAATAATAATGCAGCATAACTACTGTATCTCTATAATGATAAAAGACATAGCTGAAGGCAACCAGGTAATAAGTGAACCGATGGTTATCTATAGTTATTTTGTAATAATCAAAATAAATTTAGAAAATAGCAACTAAAAACTAAATAAAAATGAGAAATAAAAAAGTAAAAATAATACAGTAGACTAGGTAACATCTTGAACAGTTTTAGCAAAAAAAAATCATTCTTTGAAGTACTCAAAAAAAATAAAATGTTAAAGCAACATATGCTCTCAGAGATATTTTCTATTCTCAGAGACATTTTTAGCTGATCCCGGATAAATATGAGACTTTTTACAAACCTGGCCCCAAAATTATAAAATTTAGCAGGGATTGATAGATAGGGCTAGGAAATTTTTTTTTAATACTTTATATATTTAATTATAAATTTACGCATACATTTACTATCTATTAAATACTGCCATATATACATTTGTTTTGTTGATGTGCAAGAAAAAATTATAGACAATTGAAAATTTTTATAACATAAAGGGACAGATACAGTAAAAAGAATGCAACTTTGCCCAATGATGAATTGAATGAAGCCAAATGAGAATGGGTTTTGATTGATCAAACTTTTTTGTTTTGTTTTGTTATTCACCTCCTCAAGGCCAAGAAGGCCACTACAGACGAGGAGGCTACTTAATAGTGGTTATAACCCTCTCTCAACTCTATAACTCCAAAACACAAACCTTGACGAACAAGGCAGCTGCGCGGAGAAACAAGAAACTTTGGATGATAGCTCATTTGAGCATGATAGTATTTGTAAAAAATGATCTTACGACAAGGGTAGAACGGCTTAAGGTTGGCAAAAAGATGGCAGGTCCGACTAGATTTACAATATGCTTCCAAGACTTTCTCTGAGAGTGAGAGGGTTGTTATTTGTCAATATAGGAATGTCAACAATATTGTGGTGGTTGTTTGCAGTTAATAACTGAAATTATTTTGGAGTTAAATTCAAAAAAAAGCCCCAAGTTGTTACAAAAAAGTAATCATCATAAAGATAGGTTGTTTGCTGCTAGGTGATCAAAAGGTGAAGACTTTTTGTCAAAACAAGAATATAAAGTTAAGTTGTCAGCAAATACAGCAACTTTAGAAAAAAATTGTTATTGTAGATAACAAAACAATATAGAAGCAAAAAACATTGCGGTTGTAACCATTCTCATTTCCAGTAATCCTTTAAGTAAATCTTCTTCATTTCCAGTAACCCTTAAAGTTATTGGAAATAAAGACAAGTGGAGGCCTTTGAGAATGACT